ATTTGTAGGCATTTGGTTTCCTTTCCTTTAGAGAACACCTAGAAAATGTAATAGATCAGTTGAAGATAAAATTGCAAGACACTCAACACAACTTACAAATCAATGTAGCTGAGCTTCAAGCCCTGCAGTCCGAACATGACACACTGCTGGAACGACACAATAAAATCCTCCAGGAGACCGTAGCAAAGGAAGCAGAGCTCCGAGAAAAGTATGCATCTACTGTGTAAATTGTGTTGTTGTTCCTTCTTGTGACTAGCGTTTAATAGTTGGATCCACCGACTGGATCCAACCTTTGCAACAACAGGCCCAAGTTGATGGAAGGGATTTTTGCTACCTTTCCAGTACAGCCCTTTGCTTCTGAACATTGACTCATCATTGGGAGCAGCGTGGAATGCAGCGATGATAGGAGGGGCGGTAGCCCATATTTGGGGTAGGTTTCACCCACCCTGAGGAGTGGCTTTTCAAGGGGGAATGGGACTGCCCTGAGACACAGAAATCCCTTCTGTGAACCACATTCGTGAAAGGACTAGATCCAACTCCACAAATAAATTTGGTCTTTGGAGCTAAAACCCCACAATTTCTTGGATATTTCTGTTGGGGATAAGATACTTCAATGCATTTCTTAAGGTTTCCCTCAAGCTTGAAATGTAGCGATACCTTATATTTCTGGCCTCCGTGGACTATTTATTTATTTAGAGTATTTTATTTTTATTTATTTATTTATTATATTTATACCCCACCCATCCTGTGAACAGGCTCAGGGCGGCACAATGCACCTAATTGGCATAACCATAAAATTTTTTAAAATTACATAAAACACATACTCATTCATGACATAAATTAACAGTTAGCAGTAAAGTGCTTGCAGTACTAAAGATTAGATGGCGTGCTTTCCAGATCTAAATCCACGTTGTTCGTCCAATCATCATCCCTAGCGATACAACTGGGCCAGACCTAGGATCCAGACGTTCAATAGGATCATTGATGGTAACAGTAGTAGCGGCTCCTATTTAAAAGCCTGGTGGAAGAGCTCCATCTTACAGGCCCTGTGGAACTGTAAAAGGTCCCACAGGGCCCTGATCTCCTCCAGGCGCTTGTTCCACCAGTAGGGAGCCACCACAGAAAAGGCTCTTTCCTGGTCCTGGTGAGCCTTGCATCCTTGGGGCCCGGAATAGTCAAACGATGTTGGGCCCCTGACCGTAGTGCTCTCTGGGTGAAAGGTGGTCCCTCAGGTAGGTCGGTCCCTGGTTATGTAGGGTCCCTGGTTATGTAGGGCCTGGTTTCTAATTCACGGGCTTCTCTGCTCTAACAGGCTCTGTACAATACAGTCTGAGAACATGGTGATGAAGTCGGAGCACGCACAGACTACCAGTCAGCTGACAGCCCAGAACGAAGCTCTTCGGAACAGTTTCCGAGACCAAGTCAGGCATCTTCAGGAAGAGCACAGGAAGACCGTGGAGACATTGCAGCAGCAGCTGTCCAAAGTAGAAGCCCAGCTCTTTCAACTTAAAAGTGAGCCAAGTTCAAAAAGTAAGCTTCTTTCATTAACAGTGGGCAGAAATAATGTTGAGCTGGAACCAGCTGGCAGATATTGTCAGCTCTTTCCCCTCAACAAACACACGCTTCTGAGACCTTCTCTTGTCTTAAAATGAATTGTCAGCTCTGTCACTGAAACAGGAGATCTCTTCCTCCATTATGTGCTGTTGGCAGGGCTTATCGTTATACGTTGAAGATGTGGCAGATTTTTATGGCATCAAGCTGTTGATTGTTTGGTTTTATTATTATATGTTTATCACCGGGGTATGTGGGAGGGCTGTAGTTTGTTTTTTTGCCTGTTGCACCAAAATGTTTTGGAACATCTTGTCTGTCTAGCCAGCTTTTGTGCGATTCCATTCCAGTAGCCACTTTATACTGTAGCAGAATTCCTGGTTTTGCAGGTCCTCCTCCTCCCAATATACCAACAAAGAACTTGCGAGAAAGAAGGAACACTGACCTTCCTCTTCTTGATGTGCACACTGTAGCTAGAGAGGAAGGGGAAGGAATGGAAACCACTGACACAGAGTCTGTATCTTCTGCCAGCACTTATGTACCATCCTTGGAACAGCTCCTTAATACGCCTGATACAAAACTTGGTAAGGAACACTTCTCCAAAGGCCATGTGATGGTGGTTTCCCTGTCTGCAGCGCTAGTAGTGCTTAATAGTCTTTGGAGGAGAGTTATTTTTTGTTGTCCAGAGCTCTCTGCTCTGCTTCCTTCATTTTGCTCCTTCAGAAAGCGTTCATGATGAAGCAGTCTCTTCCAGTATTCTTGATAGCCACTCTCACACAATCCATTACCAGAACTTTGAGCTGCTGTCTGAAAAGTTAGACTGGCTTAAGGTAATTGACATTCAGACATATCTTCTCTGCTGAAATTGGAGCAAATAGCTACTCAACTAATGATTAATTCTGTAAGCTTTATGCTCTGAGGGACTGGCTGATACTCTACGGAGTCATGGATTAGAGGGGATTAATTGTGTAGGTTTTATTTTTGTTTTTTTGCAATCCTGAGGTAAAATTGTTCTTTGCAAGCACAGGGGAACGAAAAGTATTATATTTAATGTGGCATTTCTAGTAGCACTAAAGTTATGTGTGTCAGATAACAGAAGATATGGTTTTATTCTTATCATTTGATAATTCTGCTTTTAGGTGGTGACTTGTCCGTGTAGATAAACCATCATAAATTGGGTACCAAAGAGAGACCTTTTTATATTATTTATGAAGCACCATCTGTGTGTGTGTGTGGCACTTAGAAAAGACAAGTACCTGCCCTAAGAACCTTAAAAGTCTAAAAAAATTGCAGCAGAGGCTCGGGAAGCACAGTTAAGATGGAAGAATATGTGATTGTTAATTTCAGTTCCAGTAACAGGGGAGGTGGGAATGAGAACTTTTAGGCTATCCTTTGAAATGAAATGCTATTCAGTGGAAAGCTAAGACCTGTCAAGTGATGGATCTGCATTTCTGCATTGTGAAGTTATATAGCATATTGCTGTTTTGGTGGAAAACAAGGAAGACTCAACTTCTGTTAAGTAGAAGGGAAATCATATTCAAGAGATTGCCTGTGAACTTTTATGTGAAAAAAAGTGTTAGAGATCTAGTTTCTGCAGAGTTGTCGCTAAGGACTTAGTTTTTCGCACATGAATATTCAGTATCCCATGGCTCTTTCACTTTATAGGCACAGGCCACCCTCCAGAGAAATTGTGTATGTTTTTACAGTCCTGAGTACAGGTTGCATTTTATTTTTTTGTGGTTGCGGTGGAGAGATTATGTTCAATGTAAAAAGTAGCCTGCCCAGCCATTGCTGTTACTGCATCAGAGAACCAGGAAGCAAAGATCTAGACTGGAGCAGAGCTCTAGCCCATGGGTGTGTGTATAACTCTGGATGGCAACCATAAAGAATAGTGACTCCATAAACTAAAATCACATGAGGCAAATTTCACATTACCTTTTCAATCTCTGCAGAGCCTCCGCAGTGGCAAGCAGAGCTTACGAAAGAAGAGCTGGTCGAGAAGCTAAACACCACAACAAAGAGTGCCGATCACTTAAATGGATTACTTCGGGAATCAGAAGCAACCAATGTAATCCTAATGGAACAAATTAAGGTCAGTGGGCAGATGCTTAGCAAACATCTAGTTCATATGACTGCCTAAAAATCCTTCTGTAATTGTCATGTGAGTTTGTTATTCCCATTGCCTGTGGACGTGCTTCCCCTCCCCACCTCACCAGCTCACACAGATGCTGCTGTGTTCTGTGCTTTGTAAGTTCTACAAAACTTTAGCAGGACAAAGGTCTGTCTCACCAAGCGCTCTCTGCCCTGCTTTGAGGACAGGCAAAGTCAGGGTGCGTAGGTCACTGTAAGTTAATGGAGTGCATCAGGAGCAGAAGATGAGCTACGAGAACAGACTTTGGAACTGGGAGTGGGATTAAAAAGGCAGAGGTACCAGCATTGCTCCAGCAAGGCTTGTCGTCAAGTAAAGTCTTTTATTCTGCATGGAATGTTGTAACCCTTTTGCCACTGCTGTTTCCAAGGCCAGGATAAGTCACGTTCCATAGAATCTAAAGCAGAAGGATGTTTTTGTGAAGGGATTAGAACTCTAGCGGATGGGAACAGTCCAGGAGCACACCCCCTATAATGGAATAGGATTGTGGTCGACCGCAATGATTATTTATTTCATTTTACAAAATTTATACCCTACCTTTCTGCTCTCTGAAGAATGCCCAACAAAACAAATCAAGTCTTCACCTGCTGGCAGGGTCCAAGAGCTCACCCAGGCTGCGGGCCTGTTCCTTCTAGGGGACCGCAACACCATCCAGAATTGGTGACACCTTAAATCCCAGGTCATCCCTTCTGCTTACCCGTGTAGCACTTCCATATTTTGTCAGGGTTAAACCTCAGTTTATTGGCATGCACCCACTCCAGAACTGCCTCCAGACACTGGTTCAAGGTTTCTGCAGAGCCTCCCTGGAACCAGCCAGAAGAGCTAGATAAAACCGAGTGCCATCCGCACAATGGTCACAATTGATCCCATATCTCTGGGTGACCCGCACCCGGTGGTTCCATGTAGATGTTAAAATAACATAGGTGACAAGATGGAACCTCGTGAGACTCTCCAAGGGCCAAAGGGGCTGAGCAGCAGTCCCCCCCTATCACCACTACCTACCCTACAAGTAGGACCGCCACAAAATGGTACCTCCCAATCTCAGCCTGGGAAAAGTGATCCAAAAGGATACCGTAATCTATGGTATCGAAAGCCAGGAGATCCAGGAGAATAAATAGAGTCGCGCTCCCTCTGCCCATCCCCCAATGCAGGTCATCCAGCAGGGGGACCAGGGCTATTTCAGTCCCATAACCAGGCCTTAAAACCAGACTGGAAAGGACCTAAACAATTAACTTCATCCAGGAAAGCTTGAAGTTCCCCAGTCTTTACCCATTCAGTCACCTAAGTATTAATTCGTCGGTATCATCTTGCTTTGACAGCATTTGTCTACTACCTTTGCAACTCCACCTACTGCAATTTGTTAGTCAGTCTCTTGTTCACAGTGTCTTTTAGTTTTGTACCATTGCATTGTTCTTTGGATGTCTTATGCTGTAGGTGTACATTGCCTTGAATCTGTAACCCGCCTTGAGTCTCAGTGAGAAAGGCAGTCTGTAAATAAAATAAAATAAATAAAATAGTTTGATTCCACAAGTGATGAGCTGGCCCAGTTTTCAGTTAAGAAGCTGCTTCAGATTGTCTAGAGATCCTGCTTGGGATCTTGGATTTGTTGAACAGCAGGTATGGAAGGGGGCTGTTCAATCCATATGGCCCCGGTAAATCATGCTTGGGCAGACAGCTGTTTCCCAGTCTGTGTTTATTGGCTCTAATAGCAAGTCAAAATGCCCATCATTCACCAAGACTTCTCTCTAGGGAAGGGAAACCAAAGAAACAGATCCTCTTAATGTCAGATTTTATCTTTTTCTAGTTTTGATTCGTCTTCTCACTAGTTCTCCTCATTCATTGACCACGGATAAGCAGTAAACGTCCTTTACAGTCCGTGATGCATGTATCCTTTCCTTTAAGCTCGCTAGGTTTTAGATGTGCATGTCTTGTTATACAGGACAGGGAGAACTTGGTACAAGTTGAAATAAACTTCACATGTTGAAGATGTGCAACAACAACAAAAAAGTTTGATGGTTGCCCCTCCAGTCCACAACATCTTAAACCACATCACCTCACAGCCCTAGCGTCACTTGACTGAAGCAAGTACATGCTTGCTTAAACAAACTTGCAGAGTTCCTAGGAAGAGGGGTTGTAATGTTGACTGTTGACAGTCAGATGTATGAAGTGGTTACCAGTGGTGATTTGGCGAGAGATTAAGCCCTGGGGAGAAAGAAATCTTGAAGCCTTTGTTATGTCAAGAAGCAGTTTACACAGCCCATTTCAGGATGCACAGTCTGGCAGAGGAGGGGGTGTTATAGGCCCCCAACATCTTAGAGAGAGGATGATCTATCCAGGCTGCGGTCACACGGAACATTAGCCACGCTACAGAGACGGAAGATAGGCGGATTTCCAGGTGTTCACAGTGCCACATCTGGGAAGCATAGAGCTCCCGTGGCGAACCCGAGGCTGTTCAATCCATATGGCCCCAGTAAATCATGCTTGGGCAGACAGCTGTTTCCCAGTCTGTGTTTATTGGCTCTAATAGCAAGTCAAAATGCCCATCATTCACCAAGACTTCTCTCTAGGGAAGGGAAACCAAAGAAACAGATCCTCTTAATGTCAGATTTTATCTTTTTCTAGTTTTGATTCGTCTTCTCACTAGTTCTCCTCATTCATTGACCACGGATAAGCAGTAAACGTCCTTTACAGTAAGCTCGCTAGGTTTTAGATGTGCATGTCTTGTTAAACAGGACAGGGAGAACTTGGTACAAGTTGAAATAAACTTCACATGTTGAAGATGTGCAACAACAACAAAAAAAGTTTTATGGTTGCTCCTCCAGTCCACAACATCTTAAATCACATCACCTCACAGCCCTAGCATCACTTGACTGAAGCAAATACATGCTTGCTTAAACAAACTTGCAGAGTTCCTAGGAAGAGGGGTTGTAATGTTGACTGTTGACAGTCAGATGTATGAAGTGGTTACCAGTGGTGATTTGGCGAGAGATTAAGCCCTGGGGAGAAAGAAATCTTGAAGCCTTTGTTATGTCAAGAAGCAGTTTACACAGCCCATTTCAGGATGCACAGTCTGGCAGAGGAGGGGGTGTTATAGGCCCCCAACATCTTAGAGAGAGGATGATCTTCCTGCCCGTGTGACCGGGGCCCTAGTTCACCAAGTGATATATAGACTCTGCTAGCCCCTTTAAACTTCATGAAACTGTCTCTGAGAACTACTGAACAAAAGTCCTTTAAGCACTTTCTGGCTTTTGATCACCTGATGTTGTTGAAAGGGGCTGCATGTATTTCATCTGTGAAGGGGAACTCCTCCAGCCTCCTCTTCCTTTCAGCCTGCCCATGGTTTCTGCATATGAGAGCCAATTCACACTACTAGATTTCTGCTGATGATATTGCATGATCACATGATCCAGACAGCATAATAACAGAGGGTTGCCACCTTCATTCATCTACCCATCTACATTTGGCTGTGTGTCCACTTATGTGACTGGCAGCACTGAGCAGTGTGGAGGAGATCAAATTCTATTCCATTATTGTATAATGCTGTGTTCAGTCTAACAGGAATCTCTCCCTTTGCTGCTCATTTTGGCTGTGCTTTTTTGACTCATTTGTAGCCGCCTATGGATTTTTTTTTTATCATTCTCTCTGTGTTTTTCTAACTTCAGCTTCTTAAAAGTGAAATTAGGCGTTTAGAAAGGAACCAGGAACGCGAGAAATCTGTAGCTAATCTGGAATATTTGAAGAATGTTCTGCTCCAGTTTATATTTCTGAAGTCGGGCAGTGAAAGAGAGAGGCTTCTTCCTGTAATAGATACCATGTTACAGCTAAGTCCAGAAGAAAAAGGAAAGCTTGTTGCAATTGCTCAAGGTATGTGAAGCTATTTTGCTACCGGCGTGTTATATGTCAGCCAATGTTAGCAGAGAAAAGAAAGGAGAGGGGAGGGGCTGCTTCTGGCGAAGACTGGGCAGCAAAATAGATATATTGAAAAACTTGGCTCTCTTTTGACCTGCGAGGGCCACCATACCAGTGCTGAAAACAAGACTAAATGTTTTAAACAAAATCTACCACTTCAGCATTTTTACGTTAATGACGACAGCTCTGTGTGCTTATGTAAAAATTAATCAAAACTTTTTAACAGAAGATGCTACAAGCTACTTCTTTTTGCTCACAGTGGGAATTTTCTTGTAAATTTTAATATTTATTATTTATTTACAAAATTTATGTCTTGTCTTTCTTGCCCCCACAAGGGCTACCAAGTCAGCTAACAAATTAAAGCATACATATTAAATCACATTTTAAACCCTTTTAAAACCAACCTTCCCACAAAAAAGCACATATCATTAAAACAACTACAAACAGATCAAAAACACATACGAAGACATTTTTTAAAAAATGAAAGCATTGGGCAGGAAGGCCCTCTCTTGGGTTGCTACCTGCTTAATCTCAGGAGGCGGGGACACGCAATGCAGGGCCTCCCAGGATGACCAGAATGGTCGGGAGGGTTCATAAGGGCACAGGTGGTCCTTCGGTTATATTTACATTTAGCATGACTTTAGATCCGGAAATCATTGTTCAAAATGACATGGTATCTGTAGCAAGCAAAAGCTGGCTGGCTTGTTTCTAACCATAGGGTTGGAATCCAGTAATGTGTGAATGTAGTTTGCATCAGGGCTCTTTTTGTATAAAAAGCCCAGCAGGAACTCATTAGCATATTAGGCTACACCCAACAGCAGAAACTCATTAGCATATTAGGCCACACCCTGACAGAACAGCACATTAGGCCGCACCCATATTACCAGAAGTGTGGTTATCCAGCCACACCCACCTTTTGCTTGTTATTCTGTTTACCTTGTTTGTTGTCAAAACCCAGGGCTTTTTTGTAGCAGGAACTCCTTTGCATGTTAGGCCACACACCCCTAATGTAGCCAATCCTAATGAGTTTCTGATGTTGGGTGTGGTCTATTATGCTAATGAGTTTCTGGTGGGCGTGGCCAACTTGGAAGCCAGCCGGAACTCCGTTCCTGTGCGTTCCTGCCCAAAAATAGCCCTGCTTTGCATATAGTTCCACTTGTACAATCAGTAGCGCAAAACTACAGAAACACATAGCACTTTAACATGGTTTTTAACATATCAACAGCGTGCATGTTAAGCAGTGGTACATAAAATAGATGTTTCGCATGATTTCATTTAACTTGGTTTTTTAAATTGTATCAGAAGAAATACCTTGTACTATGTTTTGCACGCACAGAAAAGCTGGTGAGGATACTATCACTTTCTTAGTGCCAACAGACAGAGCAAGGAGTAATTTTAGCACTTCTGCTTGTGCCAGGACTGTTACAAGCACAGAAATATTCTGTGGGATCCAACACATGACACGTAGGGGATAGCTCTGATTTATAATGGGATCGGGCACTTCCATTTTAAGGCGCAATGTCATGCAGGTCAGTCAAATCACGCTTTCTGGTTAAACGCTCTTCCTTGATTTACAGAGGAAACACATTTTTTGTCTTTTCATAAGGTGAGGAGGACAGCACGTCACAGCCAGCTGGGTGGGCTTCATACCTGCACAGCTGGTCAGGACTACGCTAAGACTGTGGGAACGCTCCCTTTCCCGATATTCCTATTTCAGAGGTTGCCCTGAGAGGAATCTCAGCACTGAAGAATGCGCCATGTGTACACATGTAGCAAGGGGTAACTTTTGTGTTTTCTGTTGATCATCATTTTTTTTTTGGTAAAGTCTTGTGAATGGTGTGTTCTGGCTTCAACTTCTAGTCCCTATGTCGTGACTCATTACAAGCTCAGGCATTCTAATGCTTGCATGGAGCAAGGGCCGTCTCACTCCTTGGTTGGGAGAGTTCCATATACACATCCCTTTGTGTCTGGAGGGCTGCCCTCCATTGAACCCTTTAAACTGGGGTTTCTGACTGCAGCAAGCATCTTCATTCGTATTTATCTGAAACAGGTTCCTGCATGAGATCGTTATCGACAGCAAGGCCAAAATGGAATTGGTGACTCTGAACACGCGCGTTCCCGTGCTTCTGTTAAGACCATTGCCTGTTTTGTGCTTAAGGATGTTGAATATATGACTTAGTAAAACACTTCAGAACTTACCTTACAAATCGCTTATTCTTCTGAAAAGGGGAAGAGAGTTTAAAAAAAAATTTGGCAGCATTCTGCTATTTGAACAAATTGAATATATGGCCCAAGTCCAAACTTAATTTAGAGATTCCTTAAGCTAATCGGGCACTGTTTAGGACATTGCTGTGTCAGATCCTTTTGCCTGAGCATTAAATCATTAGTTAATGACTACTGAGAACAAGCTTTCCTAAAGTATCCCTTTGACATTTTTAAAGAAAGCATTAAAATAAGAGTTAGAAAAGATATTTGACTCTAAGCACAGGTCAGCGTTACCAATGCAGCACGTCACAAGGCTTCCTGATGACTTGGTTCAGTGTTTGCTACAGGTAGAATCCTGAATATAATTGGCAGTCATCATTGTCAAGGCTGAGTGCTTTCTAGAAAACCTTCAAGATGGATTCAGGCCAATACAACTTACAGCTATATGCCTTTTTCACAAATGGACGCCTTTTCTCTGCCATCATTCTCAAGGGGTGCCAACTTGACATGCATGTGTTAAGAAGATCTGTATATTGTTTCCATAGAAACAAATAGTTCACTTTTCAAACACTCGATCTTGGTTGCAGCTTTTTTGCCTCTCTGGAAGGGATGCTCTCAAGGACACCCCAAAGTGTATCATTTTACATAACATACACGTCAGTCTAGGTGATCTGTATTCTCTTAGGATATGTATTCTGCTTAAATCTTGAGTTTTGCATCAGCATTTGTTAATTTATCTCACTTCAAGCTGTGTAATTTTAGGTCTGTTTGTTGCTGTTTTTCTGCCACAGAGGAAAGATCTTGATTGGTCCTTCCTCCCCTACTTTGACACGTCGAAACTGACCAGGAAAATGTCTTTGCACTTTCTTCTGTACTTTGTTGTTTTCAGAACTGGTTTCACTGAATAATTGCTATTAATTGAACAGCATTTTCCTATTTGCACAATGTTAACAACTGTGACAAAATGAACCTTTATGTCTTTTTAAATGTTTTACTTCAAAGTCTGTTTTTATTTTTTCAAACTGAATAAATTATCGATATAGTTTACTTTTATTACTTTTCCAATTTTGATTGTATCAGTTCATTCACTGTATAAATTCAAATACTGTCATTGTAACATTCTGTATGCATGTTCTAACTATACCTTTTGCTAAACATAAACCTTAGTCATGGGAGAGAAATTCAGATTAAAACCACAGTTGTAAAACATGGCCTTTTGTAAATGGAGTATATTTATGTAACTGTGTATTATGTAGGTGCTTTCAAAAACCTCATATTTAAAGATAGTTTAAACAAGGTAGTCATGAGATAGAACACCTTAAAATTAAATGCATTTCCTTCTTAATATAAATGTAACCTTTTCCTCAATCCCATTTTCATTTCCTGTAAATTATTAGGGCTTTACCTCAGAGCCAGTTTGGTGTAGTGGTTAAGAATACAGACTCTAATCTGGGAGAACCAGATTTGATTCCCCACTCCCCCACGTGCAGCTACTGGTGTGACCTTGGGTCAATCACAAGTACTTTCAGAGCTGTTCTCTCAAGAGCAGTTCTCGAAAGAGCTCTCTCAGTCCCACACAGAGTGTCTGTTGTAGGGTGGGGAAGGGAAAGGGGATTGTAAGCCGCTTGGTTACTCATTCGGGTAGTGAAGGGTGGGGTATAAATCCAATCTCTCCTCCTCCTCCTTCTGATAGGAAAAGAACTGAAAATTATTCATTTTCTTGAGGTTACTTATAGGGCCTGACAATTTTCCCAACTTCTTTTCTGGCATTTTAGACTTCTGAAGGATGAATGTTTCATGACCAATGTATGAAATCTCTATGAAGCATTCCTTGATTTTTAACTAGAGGGAGCAGCAGTGATTTCTGCTTGTCCACATAAAACTTGGGCTGATTCTTGAGTTTGTTCTTGCTAGGGGATGTGTGTGTGTGTGTGTGTTTTAGTGAGGCATGCTAGTTCACAAGCAGAGGTCCATCAGTGGCTATTAGCCACAAGGTACAGATAGGAACTCTCAGTCTGGGGCAAGTGATGCTCTGTATTCTTGGTGCTTGGGGGGGGGGACCGTGGGAGGGTTTCTAGTGTCCTGGCCCCACTGGTGGGCCTCCTGATGGCACCTGGTAGTTTTGGCCACTGTGTGACAGTGTTGAACTGGATGGGCCATTGGCCTGATCCAACATTGGCTTCTCTTATGTTCTTACAAGTGCTACTTTCCTGCTCTTTCGTGTTCTGCTAATCTAAGTTTCTGAAGGTCTGTCAAAGTGACTTCTAAGCATAGCTTTTCTTACGATGGAAAGTCTTTCTGCAACACAGAGTCTGCAAAACTGTTGCCAGTGTCAAGGGTAACATTCAGGTTAAGCACAGTTGCATAGGCTTTAAGCCAGGCCTTAAGCCTTCTGCTGATTTGGCAGCTGGCAGTGAGCCTATGAATGCTCTCCCATTATCCACACACACACAAACACAAAGAGATGGCTATTGTCTTCAGTTACATAAGGGTGTAAAAAATAAAATAAAAAGAGGTAACACCCAAACAGAATAAAATTGCCACATGCAAAATATAAGCTAGAGAACTGCAACAGATTTAATTTGCAGGATTCCAAGCTTAAACAAGATTTTGTGTATGTTCTGGGTTCATATGTTGTTTGTTTGAATATCTGGCCCTTTAACCAAAGAGAGCTCTGCGAATGGTGTTATTTTCACTGATGAAGGATATAAGGAACTTCATGTCATCTGCTTATCCCAAGTGATCATAGCATGACTGAGCTACCAAGGTGATGCAGCTTCGGCAAAGGCGAGTATATTGGATGAATCAGGGACAGGTAAGGAAGTACTTGTGTAGGGTGCTGTTGAAGATTCACCTGGAATACCATGTCCAACTTTTGTCTAGCAGTAATCCCAACTGAACAGGTGCCAAAGATGATGGACCAATACTGAGGTATTCGTTCAATATGCTTCAGAGGGGTTTAAACAGAATAGCTTTCATACGATGGGTGGGAATGTAGTAGCATTCTACAATTAAAACAAAAGGCATGCTGCAGTCAAAAAACACAAAACCAGTAGAGCTGTTTAACTTGAATAATAGTGTATGGAGGACCATGGTTGGGGAATGTGGGGATGAGGTTGAAGAAAGAAATGAAAGGTTTTTATACCATTCTTTTCTCTACCTTAAGGGGTCTCAAAGTGGCTTATAATTGCATTTCCTTCCCCTCCCCACAACAGGTTCCTTGTGAGGTAATAATAATAATACTTTCAATTTATTAATCTCTTTCCCCAGTGGGCTCAAAGCGATGTACAGTTACACATTTTAGACGGGACTAACAATGTTCATAGGGGATAGGGAAGACAACATATATTCATTTAACTGCACATGCTGTCACTGCACGGTGTAAACGTCTTTTGGCTTGGCTAAGTCATTTTCCGAACGGCTGCTTGTCAACCAGGCTTCAGGACCCATATGTCACATCGCCACACTGCCACCGCCTGGCCGGAAACATCCACTGCAGGGATTTTTGTAGCCGAGAAGTTCTTCCGCCTTTTTCCGACCTCGACCATGATGTCCCGACCGTCAGCTAACACCCTCCCACAAGGGAGATTGGTGTGCCCACCCTCTCTAAGGAGTGGTTCCCATTTTAGGTAGGTGGGGCTGAGAGAGTTCTGAAAGAATTGTGACAGGCCCAAGGTCACCCAGCAGGCATCATATGAAGGAGTGGGGAATCAAACCTGGTTTTCCAGATTAGAGTCTGCCACTCTTAACCGCTACACCACGTTTGGATTGCCAAGTCCCCATCATCCCAAACTCAGACTCATCAGGTGGGAGCTAATGAAGTCACGTTGAATAGTTGTCTTAATAGTAATATCTCCATGCATCACTAGACACTATACCATCATTGTCTCTGTGAACGTGTGTAGTCACACTAATGGGGATTTGTAAAATGTAGAGGATCTGTTAATGCTAGATTATTGCCTCCCATCTCCAATTCACACATGCAGTAGTAAGCAGCATGTATAGAAGAATTTGAAGAACCATATATCTGTAATATGGCATTCCAGGGAAAGTCAGTCTCCTTTACTTTAATTAGTTCCATCCAGAGATGTTGCGAGGCAAAAGGGGGGAGAGTAAGATTCAAAACTTGTGTTGATGAAGCTAAGGGGTAGGGTTGATGGTAATTGATCACGGCTTTAATTATTAAAATGGGAGATTTCTATGTTATCACCTGCCTTCAATCACTCCCCCCACCCTAGAAATTATCCCTAATAGCAGATAGGTATATTCTTGAGGTTATTGTGTAGTAATGTAAAAGCAGTCTGCATGTGCAGAGCGTTGTGCAGTTTTGGTGCTCAGTGAAGGAACTATTCTTGGTTCAAATTTATTTCAGTCCTCCCAAATAAGCTTTTTTTCTATAGTAAGTGGTGGTAGTATTTAAGATTGTCTAGGTATTATGTCCCCTCAGCCATCTGACTTCAGTGGGCTTATGAAGGGTGTAACTCTGCTTAAGCCTTAGGGTTTTATTTATTTCAATTATACCCGGCCTTTCTCCCCAGTGGGGATCCAAAGTGGCTTACATTGGTATCTCTGCCATTTTACCTCACAGCATTCCTGTGAGGTAGGTTAGGCTGAATGGATGTGACTGGCCCAAAGTCACCAAACACTATTCCATGGCATAGTGGGAATTGGAACCTGGGTTTCCCAGACCCTAGCCTGGTATTGTAACTAGGGATGGGCACAAACCAAATTACGAACCAAAATTCATGATGAGCTGGGCCCAGGTTGTGGTTTCCGAACTTCAGTTCGTGCCATCTTGCCCTCATGAGCTGCACAAACCTTCCAGGTGGGTTTGTGTGGTTCATATTGGCAGACACACTAGCACTGGTGGCTGGGGTTGGAGAAGGCATTTAAAGAGACCACCATCTCTTTAAATTGCTTTTCCAAGCTGTGTGGCTTGCAAAAACCACTTAAAGGGATCTCTTTAAATAGAGTCATGGTAGATAACTCACCAAAAATGTTGACTCAGTGTGCAACTAATAAAAAAGGCAAATGCTATGCTGAAGATTATTAAGAATGGAATTGAAAACAAGTCAGCCAGAATCATATTGCCCCTGTATAAATCTATGGTGAGGCCTCATTTGGAATACTGTGTACAGTTCTGGTCACTGCACCTCAGTGAAGATATAGCATTGGAAAAGGTGCAGAAAAGGGCAACTAAAATGATTAAGGGGATGAATCACCTTCCCTGTGAAGAAAGGTTAAAGAGGTTAGGGCTTTTTTTGCCTGAAGAAATGACAACTGAGGGGTGACATGATAGAAGTTTACAAAATTATGCATGGGATAAAGAAGGTAGAGGGGAAAAAATACTTTTCTCCATTTCTCACAATACAAGAACTTGTGGGCAACTCAGTGAAACCGATGAGCAGCTAAAAGGAAGTACTTCACCTAAAGAGTAATTAACGTGGAATTCACAGCCACAGGAAGTTGTGGCAGCTACAAGCATAGACAGCTTCAAGGGGGGGTTGGATAAACATGAATCAGAGGTCCATCAGTGGCTATTAGCCACAAGGTATAGATATTCTTGGTGCGGGGGGGGGGCACAGTGGGAGGGCTTTTGCAGTTCTTGCCCCACTGGTGGATCTCCTGGTGACAACTGCGTTTTGGCCACTGTGTGACACAGTGTTGGACTGGATGGGCCATTGGCTTGATCCCACATGGCGTCTCTTATGTTCTTAATATATAAAGTACATAAATGAAAAAGGGCCTCATATCATTCAACCAAAAAACTCATGCCACAATAATGCGTGTGGGAGTGTTAAGTTCCATCAAGTCTCTTCTGACTTATGGTGGTGACCCTGCGAATTAATGTCCTATTGTTAACAGCCTTTCTGTAGAAACAATGCCCTCACACTCCCACACACGATGCCAGATTAGCTGGCTATTGGTGATAGGGAAAGCACTCTTTA